AGATCTTGCTAGACAGATTTTGGTACATTTTTTGGAATGGTTTCTGGGAAAGCCTCTGGTCCAATTTATGGGGAAAATTCTGTGAAATTTTTTGGTATAGTAATTTCCCAATGTTGGTGTTCATCAATTGTGACTTTCTCCTCTTGAATGGCATCCTTGGAATAAAAGGCATTCTCTTCATAAAACGTGACATCTATAGTTTGATAGATTTGTCTTTTCTAAGGACAATAATATTTATATCCTTTCTTGGTGGGAGAGTATCCCAAGAATATACATTTGATGGCTTTTGGGTCCAGCTTGTTGGGATTGGACTTTTGATCATGTATAATGTTGTGCATCCAAAAATCTTTGGTGGGAGATTTATGATGAGTTTGGTCGAAGGATAAAAGGACAAGAGGGTTTGGTGAGGTGTGTTTGGGTTGAGTGTTTTGGAGGGTATTCTATTTATTAGGTATGATGAAGAAAGAACTGCGTCTCTCCAAAAATGGCTAGGTACATTCATGGACAACATGAAGGCTCGAGTGACTTCCAGTATGTGTCTATTTTTTCTCTATATTGTTCCATTTTGTTGGAGAGAATATGGATATGAAGTTTGGTGTACAATCCCATTTTTGGCAAGGTATATACCAAGGGTGTGGTGGAAGTACTCCCTTCCCCCATTATCAGTTCTTAGGATTTGAATGTTGCTTTGAAATTAGGTTTGAACCGTTTTATGAAAGTTCTCAAATATACTCCCTACCTCTGATTTTTCTTTCATGAGAAACACTCAAGTGACTCTTGTATGGTCATCAATAAAGGTGACAAACCACCTTGACCCAGTAATATTGCTCACTCGTGAAGGTCACCACATATCACTATGAATAAGGGTGAAAGGTTTAGATGGCTTATAAGGTTGTACAAAATAACGAGACTTGGTGTGTTTTGCTAGTTCACACACTTCACATTTGAAAAAACCATAATCTTTATTAAATAATGATGGAAATATCTTTTTCAAATATATAAAATTTGGGTGTCCTAGGCGATAATGCCATAACATTACATCATTCTCATTCTTTGATGAACATGTAAGGGCAACCTTGTATGATCTTTTCTTTTGTTATTCAACTCTTAGGTAGTAAATACCTGCACTCTCCTCATCATTTCCAATCATCTTCCCCAAATTCATATCCTAAAATTCGCACAAATTTGGTAAAAACTTAGCAATACATCCCAAATTTTTGGTTAATTTATAGATAGACAACAAGTTACAATTTAATTTTGGAACATGTAAAACTAAATCAAGAGTAATATCTTTAGAGATAATCACTGAAACTTTACCAGCCACTTTAGAGGTAGTACCATTTGCAATTCGAACAAAAGATCCATCTTGACAGGGAGTGTATTTGGTAAATACATTGATGTCCCCAGTCATGTGATCTGATGCGCAGAATCAACAATCCGTTGGTTTATTTTCTGGTGAATAACATGAAAGGAAATAGAAAAATTACCTTTTTGGGCAATAGTAGTAATGGAAGAAGAAGTACTCGTGTTTTTTATTGCTTGTTGCATCATTTTCTGCAACATCTCTATTTGTTCTTTGTCGAAAGGGCTTGCCTCTAATGTACTTTTGGATTTGCTTTCATCAACGGCATTTGTGCGTGTATCCTTGAATTATGGTTTCAAATCCATGGGTTTCCCAAGAAGCACCCAACATGTTTCCTTTGTATGTCTAGGACGCTTGCAGTGATCACACCATCCTCTACCTTTCTTTGGCGGGCCTCTTGCTACAAGGGTAGAGCCTTCAATGTTTACACTTTTACTTCCCAACATAACTTTTCTTCTACTTTCTTCCTTTCTTACTTCTGAAAATGATTCACGAATGTTAGGGAGGGGTTTAGTTCCAAGAATTCTTCCCCTTACTTCATCTAAATTTTCATCCAGTTCCAATAAAAATTGATATCTTATATCCTTCTCGATCAATTTTTTGTAGATTCTTTCATCCTATGAACACTTCCAATTTATGTCGGCATAGACGTTGAGTTGCTTCCAGTACTTTATGAGAGTGTGATAGTACTTTGTTACTAGAGAGTCTCCTTATTGAAGGTTATGTAAGAGACTTTTAATCTCAAATATGGTTGAAGTGTTATCCACATTTGAGTAGGTCTTTTTGGCTGCATACCAGATTTCTGCAGCATTGCCATAACACATGAAAATTTAACCATACTCATTTGTCATAAAGGTGACTAACCATGACATCACAAGACTATTTTCAAGTTTCCACTTCACATGGTTTGAATCAGTCTTTGTTGGCTGCTTAGCATCGCCAGTGGTGTAGTCTTCCTTTCCATTTCCTTGGAGGAAGAGTCAGACAGATCTGGACCACTGTGTATAATTCTTTCCATTGAGCTTGTAACAAGTAATGAGAATTGCCTCATTATGATTGGTGGTGTTTCCAGTCGCATCCTTTGGATCAACATCTGAGATGCTTGAGCTATTTGTTTTTTCCTCCATAGGAAAACCCTAATTTTTTTGGATCAGAATTGTAGCTTTGATGCCATGTAGAAATTGTGTATTTCTTATTGAGTTTATACATAATAGAATATGATATAAATAGCCTAGGGAGTACAAATAACTAAAGAAACTAGTTAAATCCTAATTAACTCAAATTAATTCTTATTTACAAGAAGGGAAACATTCTATATGACTATGTAAATAAGTATAAATATATTCATATAATACAAATATAAAATTTGTATTGATGTCCCTTATTAATGGCTGTATAATTGTGCCTTAACGGTTGTAGATCGGGAACCAACAAATAGTATAATTCACCCTCTCTTATTTTTGGAGTCACTTGTTCAACAATTGGCATAAGATCCTAATTCATATTAAATATTAATCGTCCCAGGTGGTAGGAAATGACTTCAAGCTATTCACTAAACAAACAGTTATCCTTTAATGGAGAAGGATATATTTTGTGAAAAGAGAAGATGGAGTTCTTCATCAAAGGGGTGGACTCTAGTATTTTGAAGGATGTGAAGGAATGTCTATTTGTTTATACACACAAATTTAATGGTTTTTTAGTAAACAAATATGAAATTAATTGGATCAAAGATGTTAAAGAAAATAGACAGCGTGATTTGAAGGCAAAAACCATCATCAATACCGCTCTTGTTCTTGATGATTTTTTGTAAGTTTACTACTACAAGACCGCAAAATAAATGTGGTTCATCCTCCCAATTATCATGAAGGAAATACTGAAATAAAGAGGGTAAAGTTGGGCTCATTAACCCATTAGTATGAACTTTTTAGAATTACATCTAAAGTGAATTTTGGGAAGAACATTTTAAAATGAAGAATTGATTGTGGAAATTCTTAGATGCCTAAATTGTATTCGACAACCTAAACTCTATGTGATTTATGAATATAAGGATTTCAACCATGAACACACATACTCTTTTTTGGTAAGTTACAAGTACATGAGATAAAGCTGAAAAGACTTGTTATGGATGAGGAATGAAAGAAGAAGAATAAAATTTTAGTTCTTAAAGTCGAAGATCTCGACTATGATGGCCACATGTCACTCTTATGCAAAAGGAGAAAAATCAAAATGAAGGAAAGTCTTTATTCACTCCTACATCCTATCTGTGCAACAAGAAAGAAGAGATCAGACCAAAATGCCCTATAAGCAAAAATAAAAATTAGAATCATAAAAAATAAAAGAAACCTATGAAAAATGCCAAGAAGGCTTACATCAAGCGAGATGACAATGATATGGAGTCCTAAGATGATGAAGAAGCATGCATTTGTCTCATGGCAGATCATTAAGAATATTAGGTAACCTATTATGTTTCTTATCATTGTTTTTACGCATTTGTAAGAAGCTAACAAAGGAAACAAGTAAATTAGAACAAATTATCTCTACTTTCAAGTACACTATTTCTTTCCATGAATAGAAAAACAAAATTTTATTAGAAAAAATAAAAAATCTTAGAGAGATAAAAAATGATCTATTCCAAAAAAAATTATGTTCTAACGAAGAATTAGATGAATTTGTCGAATACAATAAATATGATATTTTAAAAAATAAAATTGATGTTCTTTAAAAACACACTTGAAGAAATACTTGAATTTGAATTCTTATGAAAAACACACACATGTCTAAGCCATCTAACCAATCACACTAATTAAAGAAAATTTTAATATAATAATATCCTAAATAATATCATAATTGATACTACTAATAAAAACAATAAATAGTAAATAATAATAAAACAATAACTCAACAAATATATTTATCAATGATAGATAAAAAGTCTAAAATAATATTTGTCTTTTATTAAAATTTAAAAAATAAAAGAGAAATAAATTTCATTAATAAATAGAATGAGACGGGTATTTATCATTAATATATCAAAAACATGAAATAAATATTTGAGTAAAAAAATCTAATTGCTTTTGAACATGATCAAATATTTTTTATTAAATAAAAAAAAAGGAAAAAAATATTTATCAATGATAGATAAAATGTCTAAGATAAATATTTTTCTTTTATTAAAATTTAAAAATAAAAGGAAAATAAACTTCATTAATAAATAAAATGAGATACGTATTTATCATTAATATATAAAGAAACATGTAAAAAATATTTGAATTAAAAAAATCTAATTGCCTTTGAATTTGCATGAGTTAATCTTAATAATTTGGTACATGCATTCAATAATCAAGTTATGATAATTATAATCACTTCATTCAATTGCATCCCACTCATCTATAAAAATACAAATTTGTGGATAGAAAGATATAGTAAGATATACATAAAATCCTTAAAACCCTTCTCATTGGTTGCATCAAACAACATCATTTCAACCACAAACTTCAACATGTCTTTCCAACCACACATTCATATGATTTTCATTCCCTACATATGATGTTTCTCTCGGCCATTCATTTCACACATTTCTAGTGACAACAGCTTGTGAGTAAACTAAGTAAGCTTTCCACTCAACAAGAAGAAAATCATGGCATTGATGGCAGCCACAGCAAGCTCAGCCACTGTTGTTAAGCAAACTCCTTTCTTTGGTCAAAGAAAGAGTGCTAATCCTCTTAGAGATGTGGTTGCCATGGGAACTTCCAAATTCACCATGGTATTTTCACTATTTTACCAAATAGACTATCTTATTACATTGTTGAATTTTCGTGTGACTAACATGATTGACACATGCAATTTTTTTTGTTATTGTGAAGGGAAATGATTTGTGGTATGGACCAGACAGAGTGAAATATTTAGGACCTTTTTCAGCTCAGACTCCTTCATACTTAACTGGAGAATTCCCTGGTGACTATGGATGGGACACTGCTGGTTTATCTGCTGATCCAGAAGCATTTGCCAAGAACAGGGCTCTTGAGGTTGGTTACTTTTCATGTTAATAGTAGTTTTTGTTTGAATCAATCAACATTAGACCAATAAAGATACTAAATTGTCCTTAAGTCCTAACTCAATTGGCAGAAGCCAATATTGTTAGGTTGAACACTATCACCAACATTAGAACTGTGTGACTTTCTAGTAGTTATCAGGGTTAGAACCCTAATACTCACGGTTGTGTGTGTGAGTTTCTATTGGTTATCAGGGTTAGAACTCTAATACTTACGGTTGTGTGTGAGTTTCTGGTGGCTATTATCACTTCATCTGTGATATACCCAAAAGATAATACTAAATTATAATAATGTTGAATAATGAAGGTGATCCATGGAAGATGGGCTATGCTAGGAGCGCTAGGATGCATAACACCAGAAGTACTTCAAAAATGGGTTAGAGTTGACTTCAAAGAACCAGTTTGGTTCAAAGCAGGATCACAGATATTCTCAGAAGGTGGACTTGACTATTTAGGAAACCCTAACCTTGTTCATGCACAAAGTATCTTAGCAGTACTAGGTTTCCAAATTGTTCTAATGGGGCTCGTAGAAGGTTTCCGCATCAACGGTCTTCCCGATGTTGGAGAAGGCAATGATCTTTACCCTGGTGGCCAATACTTTGATCCTCTTGGTCTTGCCGACGATCCAGTCACTTTCGCCGAACTCAAAGTGAAGGAAATCAAGAATGGAAGATTGGCTATGTTCTCTATGTTTGGTTTCTTTGTTCAAGCTATTGTGACTGGTAAAGGACCTTTGGAGAATCTTTTGGATCACCTTGATAACCCTGTTGCTAACAATGCTTGGGTTTATGCTACAAAGTTTGTGCCTGGTGCTTAAACATTTTATGTTATCTATGATTGCATTTGTGTGAATGATGAGACTTGGCATTGTTATGTAGATTATGATCATGATAATTGTTGGTTGGATTAGTGCACTTGTTTCTTGGTTCTTAAGGACTAAGGTTCATTTTAAAGATGGGAGATCTTTTGTTAATATCTTTTGTTTAAACCAATCAATGAGAAAAGTTATTATGTTAATATGTTTTTTTCCTTCTCGATATTTAATGAATAATTATCTATTATTTTCTACGTCTCATAATAAATATTTTATTTGAATTTTATACCATTTTTAATACACCTTTATTTAGTTAGTGGATTAATTAAAAAACGTGAAAATTAATAAATACAGATATAATAATAGAAAAAAAAATTAATAATATATTAATATTTTAAAAATATATTTATTTTGAGACATAAAAAATATATATAAATAAGACTTTTTTTTTTAAAGAGGAAGGGAGTAGAAAATTTATTCTCTAGATCACTTATTATGAGACAGGCGGTATTTTGCCAGTGAACTAGGCCACTCATTTATATGTTTTTCTCATGAAACAGTACTACATTTTCAGGCTAGAATGGATTAGTATTTTTTTTTTTTAAGTTTAGTTTGAAAGTTTGGAGGAGGAGGAGAAGGCTTAAAAAAAGATTTTTTTTAAAATGTAGATAAATTATTTTTTTAAAAATTTTTTTTGTTTAGAATGATAAAAGATTCTTTGTCATTTAAATATTTTTAGTTTTTGAAATACTATAATATTTTAATAATTTATCTAAGTGATTTAAAATCCTCCAAATCTCTTCACCCTTATATGCATCTCACACCTCTCAAAATCTGTGTCTAGAAATTATCTTCGAACGCATCTAAAATCACACCAGAATATACTATTTTATGAGATACATCTCTGTAAATATTTGGGTGTATCAAAGATGCATCTTCAAATTGTCCACGGAATGATTTCAGAGCAACACCATTGTTCCAACGTATTTTTTTTAGACCAAAATATATTAAAGTAAACTCAAGTTATATTAAAGTAATGAAAGTAAAAAATCATACAGTAATTAAAGTAGATCTAAAAAGTCAAGACCATACATAACATTTATCCAAAAATATAAAATAATAATACATCTAAACAGAAACTATTCGGTATGTTTAATCCCCTACCATCTTCTCCACTTGTACTGCGCGTTATTTCGTAACTTACCAATTATGTCCTCCACTAGGGTCTACTGAAGACGGCCATCTTCAAAGAGTTTTACATTTATGCTTGCACTACCCATCTCCACAACACGTCGATAGACCACCAACATGTCCTTGTTGTGGTCATTCCTAGCCTCAAGTACCTTCTGATTAGTTAGCCTAAGTGGTATTCCAAAAGCGTTTGATGTCATGATAGAGTATGAAACCCAAAAGAATCATGTCAAGTAGTCGTCAACATAAGTCCACTGAAAAAGATTTGGCACCCTGCAATACTCATATAATACCAAGTGACTCTCGAAATCCTCCAGTATCGCACCAGGATCTCTGCGTCGGACGATGGGAGGAGTAGACTCATAAGGGGTCTCAGAAAAATCTGCAAATAGTCAAAGTGTGGCGTCACTCCCTCGGGAAGATTAGGATATATAAGAGATGACTCACGTGTCAGTCATCTAGAGTATGAGGAAATTACGTCCAAAGGACGCGTCTCGCTGTTATCTCCGTATGGGCAGAAGCAAACGTCATCTGGTACATGACAATCAAGATATACTCCAAGTGGCTCGACCACGTTATTCTCCTTGTATGGGATAAATGCGGCAGCACGTGGTCAATCTTCATTGTAGGAAAGTTGAGCTTTCCAACCGGTGATGCGAGGGAAGTTGAAGATGATACATCCCTGAAAATGGTTCAGATACAACATTAATAACAAGGGTAACAAATTAATTATGAAAATATTAGTAACAATAAATTATTGTAAGCAACGTGCAGCTCCATGTCATTTGCTTTTCTTTCTAAAGACAACTCTCATCCAACATCGGGTACAGGTAGACCAAGCAGTCGGACCCCCAGTTGTACTCGTGAATCGCGGTTAAGTCGATGAAGTACCGAAGGTAGACCACATCTATGTAGATACCTTAATGCAAAAGTCTGATGGTACTCAACCAGCAGATCATCACTTTCGACATCCTTAGCCAATTGCAAATGATCTTTAAAAAAAATTTCCAAAAAACTAAATCTTGCATGAGCATCTCTTGTGTCAGCTGCCTCTTTGAGGCCTTAGTTAGGCCAACCACCAAATGGGTGATCATCATCTCGACGACTTCCTCTCGACCGATTTTTTTGTGCCCCGGTAATCTTCCCCTGATGGGAAGATGCAAGAGGCATGAGACGTCATCCAAGGTGATGTTTATCTCTCCTATAGATATGTAGAAATATGACGTCTTTGAATGTCATCTCATTGTTGTCGTGGTTTATGGTCATGTACGCAGCAGAACATAAGTTGGCAAGACCGAAATATCGTATAACATCAACGAACCAAGCAACTGTGGGATGTTCCAACTCTAGTATCTTCCATCAGTGGTTTACTGATTTCAAACATGTATGCTCCTGTAAAAAGAAAATATCACCATCAATATCAATTTAATTAGTTAAAAACATATGTATTGCAAAAGAAACATTATTACTTCCCTAATCCTCCAAAAATATGTCAATGCAAGTTCTTATAGACTACTAATTTCGCTCACACTACTATCTAATGTACCTAAAACAACTAATGTAGCTTAAACAAATAACCACAAATCAAAACATAAAAAGAGATAATTTTTAAACAAGTTACCAAATTAAACTGTTAAGAAATAGAAGCTTAAATGTATGAGATGCTGGAAAGGAGAGAAAAAAACTGCAAATGATAGAAGTTTGCTAGGGAGAGAAGTTTGAATGGATGTGAAAGCTCAAAAGCTTGAAAGGATGTGATTTTGTTTTTAGAAAATGAAAGAGGAAAAGGGAAAGCTTGAAGGTGCATCTTTAGACCACTCACTAATTTTTTAATAAATGGTATTTACGGAGATACATCTTCAAATTCATTTTTTACACATACTGAGATACATCTCCAAACGCTAGAGACAATTGTGACTATTCATGATGATGAAGGAGCATGCATAAGTAGGGGTGTTCGCGGTGCGGTTTGGGCGGTTTTGAAGCAAAAAATCACCCGAACCGCAAGAGAAAAAAATGTACGGTTCGGTTTGGTTCGGTTGGCTTTTAAAAATAAAACCGAACCAAATCAAATCAAACTAATGCGGTTTAGATTGGTTCGGTTGGTGCGGTTTTTTAAAAAAAAAAATATTTAGCCATACATACACATATATAGAAAAATATAATTTTGTTTTTAATCATTCATACATTACCATAAAAAATTTCTAATTGTCAAAATAAATTTATAATTTGTTACATAAAATTGTGTATTATAATTTTATCTAAATCTAAAGAATGATATACATAAGTGTTCTGGACTGGGCCCGACAGGCCCAAAGGCATTACTAAGGCCCAGTCCAAAGGGACTCACTAAGGACCACACTGGGCGAAGGGGGTCACGTCCATGCCCGACACCCTAATGCAAACCTCGACATGCCGATGTCCAACCCACGCGGTGAAGTCATGCTCGACACCCTGCCGTCAGCTCCATGTCCTGGCATCCAGCTCGACAGCCGCCGTCCAGCTCGAGGTCCTGGCGTCGAGCTCAGCACCGTGCTGCCCATCTCGACATGGTCCCGAGCTACCCGGCTAGGGCAGACTCAGTCCACCGTTCCCCCAACGATACTCCGGAAAGACCGCGTCTCCGTCCGCCCGCACTTCACGCAGCACATCCAGGAAGGGGACCACGTGCTGGTCCCCACTACCCACGTAGAACCTGGCAGTTCCTCCATTGGGCCAAATCCGCCCGGCCCAATGAAGGAACCTTGGCCCAGCGCTGGGGGCTATAAATACCCTCTGTTTCCAGAGGGTCAGGTATTCATCATTCGAACCTCAACTCTATTATCTGCTCGTACTCCCACTGACTTTAGCATCGGAGTGCCTTGCAGGTACCCCCCCCTCCTCGTTCAAAACAGCCTTCAGCTTGGAGCAGCCGTGACGGTCCAAACCTTCTGATCAGGTCAGATCAGTGGCGCCGTCTGTGGGAAACCAGCTTCCCCGTCTTACGAACAACTTTAAAGACAAAAGCTCAATCTAACTACCTGTCATGGCTGATACAACTCGTGATGAGCACCCTGCCCGTGTCGCTGACACCAATCACGGTCCGGCGGACAAGAATGGACACCTCGACAATCCCGGTGACCCCGGCCATGTTACCATCCCTGTGACCACCGCCCCTGGACCTTCCACCTACAGGGACGGGAATACTGCGTCATCCTCGACGACCCCTCCAGCACTCGAGGACGACCCGGCCGCTCTCGCCCACCACAGAGCTGCCCGGTTCTTCGAGGTCCCAGTTCCTGCCGGGGCAGATGCCACGACTCAGGCACTGTTCGCGGCCATTAATCAAACAAACCGCCTCATCTTCGCCCAAGGAGAAAGACTAAGGGCGCTAGAAGGCGACAGAAGACCCCCGAGGAGGCACCAGAGGCCACCTTCTCCACCTCCTCGGACTGAAGAAGTTCGACACCCTACTCCCCCGCGGAGACACTACAGGGAGAACTCTAGGAGCCCCTCTCCCCGACCAAAACAGAGGCGGCCCCAATATGAGAGACAGCCCGTCATCCCTACCGAAGAACCCAGTCGTGACCCATCAAGGCACGACAAGAGGCACAACAGAGACGGGTGTGTGACCTTTGACCACCGAGCATCACGCTCGAGGGAATCTCAGCACGATCATCGTGCCAGGCATAATTACAGGACTCCTTCTCTTTCTCCGGAGCGGAGCGACGAGGACGACCCCCGCGGTCCCCTGTCGCAGGCCATTATGGACGCACCTATTCCCCCGGGCATGGAGAAGCCCCCACATCTGAAGGAGTATGATGGAGTAGCGG